AAGAAGTTTGATGTCCTCCTTCCATATGATTCGAGAGCCCCCTCCTGAGCATCTCTGAGCAGTAGTCATCCTGCCTCAGCTCACACACCTCCACAGACAGGGAACTCAGCACCCCCCGGAGGCAGCCTACTCCACTGTTGGATGCTTTGGATTGCCAGCAAGTTTCTCTTTATCTTGAGCCAAGATCTCCCTCTTCACAACACACACTTCTCCCACCTGTCCATGGGCTGCCTTCTGGGGCCACCAGAATGTGTGGAGACGCAGCTCTTCCTCCTTGGCGCCTGGGGGAGGCCCCTGCTGTCACACTCCCAGCTGGCATGAGAGGGAGCTGGCGTGAGGGGAGGAGAGCCAGAGGGAGGCTGGCATTCCCAGGGCTGTGTGTCTGTGTGCATGTGTGTAGATGTGGCCAGAGAGGGGGCTGAGTGGGTGCTGGGAGAAGGCCCCTGGGGGGCGGGGTACAGGCTATCTGGAACCTGCACCCATTCGCTCAGTTTGCACTGGTCATATAGGGGCTGAGGCCTTTGGTCAGATGGGAAGGCCCGGGTCTGGAATAGTGGGGAACAGTGGAAGGCATCTAGAATGGAAGGCCCGTGACCTTGGTTTTAGTCTTGCTCTGCTGCGTGGCCTTGGGTCAGTCACTGCCCCTCTCTGAGACTCAGTTTTCATCTCAGAAAAAATGAGGGGGAATAAACTGCATGAGCTCCGAGATCTGTGTCTGTTAGTCCTCGGGGCAAATTCAGAGTCTGGGTCATCTGCAGAGGGCAGTGGCCCCTGCGAAGGCCAGATCAGAGCACGGTGGGCTCTGAGCGCGACACTGCCCCGTGGCCTGTGGACAGTGAGGCCGTATAGACATGGCAGCCAGCGACCCCCTCCCCGCACTCACACGTGGGCAAATGGGTTATCGTGCCGAGCGTGAGGTCCTTGTTTGTAAGCCTGGGGTGACACAACCACCTCCCGAAACTGGAGAATTGAGCAAGACGATGCGCACGGGGTTCCGCCCTGACACCGGAGGCACAGTGTGGAGCCCGTAAGTTGTGGCCCGGATGCCATGGTGGCATTGGCCTGGACGTGGGAAGATGAGGAGGAGCTTGTCAGCCTAGGAGGACCCAGAAATAATAGTCTGTGGGAGAGTGTTCGGTGGAGAAGAGAGTAGGATGAAGTCCTGAGAGCAGCCGAGTCGCCCCATCCCCCAACCCACCAACTCCCGTCACCACTGGCTCAGGGCTGCAGAGCCCGTCTGAGAGCGGGGCGTGCTAGGAGCTGCCTGGGTGCAGAGTCCCAGATTACACTGGAGAGGTCAGTTCCCCAGAGGAGCAGTGGCCCCGGGCCAGCAGTGGCTGGCAGGGTGCAGGGCAGTGACGTCGGTCAGCAGGCAGGATATCCCGAGGCTGCCCTGGCCTGTGTCCGTGCTCTGGCAGTGGGCACTGGAGAAGAGAGTGGGTCTTGGGGAGCAGTGCCCGGACACTGTGGGTGCAGGGGGGCTTCTACCGCACTGCGTGAGCCTGGGGGAGAGGCCTTTGCCTTGCACACCTCCAGGGGACACTGTATACTTGATGTAGTTGTGCAAGGCAATGGCCCTGGCCCACTGGGAGACCTGAGGCCAGAGCTGTGTGTGAACCGGGAGTTGAGGAAAGATGGGATGTCCTAGGTTAGCAGGAGGACCCTTGGTCCTGAGAGGAAGGGTGGGTTGGGGCTGGGTCAGCAGAAGCTTGGTCTTGGGGGAAGCTGGAGGGAGGGGTAGGGAGCCGTGAAGAGCAGCAGGTTACCTGGGAACTGTAGGGTGGGGTGGGGTAGAAAGGACTCAGGTGTCTGCTCAGCTCACACCCCTCCTGGGGCTATCTCTGTCTGGCAAGCCTAGAGCTGCCCCAATGGTCTCTGGGTCCCCGAAGAGAGGACCCAGGGAAGGCGAGGGCTTCCTCCTGGCCAGCCCTACAGCCCCTGGGCCCCTGGCACTGAGCCAGGCTGGCCTGTGCTGCAGAGCTGCAGGCTCTGGGGAGAATGAGTAATGAGCCTTGAGGGGCCGTGGGCCCAGACCCTGGCCTCTCCCCTCCTGGGAGGCACCCATAAGTTCAGCCTCTGCCCCCATAGCCAGGTCATAGGCATGTGCCTGCTCAAAGCACCCCCTTCCTTCCTACACTCTTCCTCCATATCTTGGCACACACAGACCAGTGGAGTCACCCCCTCCCGGATTCTCACTCAATTTGCCACCCCCTGAATCAGGTAACATTGTCTAGCTCTCAAGGCCTAAGCTTCTGCTTTCCAGCCTCTGGAGACCTCCCCACCATCCTTCGCTCTATCTGTCCTCTGCCAACTTCCTGAACGAGGAAGACTCTGCCCCTAGGCCTTTAACAAAAACCCCTCTGCCATCTCCCTAGAGGGTGGGGGATGTGAGTATGACAGAGGGACTGGTTTGCGGGGGTAGGGCAAGGGAACTAATCCCCTCCCTCTCTGGAGCTGAGGGGTGAGTGGACAGCAGCACGAAATCCTATTCCCTCTGCCAGTGGAAATCAATAGCTAATTAATTCCCTCCCCAAAATAGTGTCCGGAGGTGGGGGTTGAAGCTGGGAGAGAGACTGAGAGAGGCCAGGCCAGACTGAGACTGAGACCCCAGCAGGGGTGGGACGGAGGACGACAGTCTTCTGGCCATAGGGACTGCACATCTGCTAGGGGTTGCTGGCTGCCCCTTCTGGAGAAGAGGGTGAGTTTGGCCTTTCCCTCCCCCAAGCCTGAGGGTCCTCCTCCCCTGCCCTGGGCTGGAGTGGGGGGTGCATGTGTGTGGGGGTAATGGCGTCAATCAGGCTGGGAGCAGGTGCTGCATTTAATTTGATTGGCTAATTAGTGCGCGCATGCTAATTATCTCCATTACCCAATGAGGAGAGGCAGTGGCAAAGCTATATATAACCCTGATGGTATTTGGAGGAAGAAGGGGGCTGCCTGCCTGGATCGCCTCTGCCCCTGCCTGGGAAGGGGCAGCCCTTGGAGGGGCATTTGAGCCCCTGTTGGAGCCTATAGAATTCGGTGAGGTGGGGTGGGGGAGAGGGGAGCAATCAGAACCAAATGGAAAGACCTGAGAGCTGGACTTTGAGGGTCTCTGGGAGATGGCTCCCTAAACATGACCACTGGCCTCCCGAAGACTTCTCTGCCCCATTTCCCTTCTGCGCACGTCACTCCAACCATCCCTGCCCTCCCGTGACTCTGCTCGCCCATTTGCTATGGTTTTTAGGGGCCCCCTGGCTTTCTCTCTTTCTCTTCATACCCCAGTTTCTTCCCATGTAGCTCTTTGGTGCCTCCCCATACCCCTCCAACCTCCTCCCTCTCCAAGTCACCCCCCACCTGTCTGAGCTACGCCTGTGGCTGCCCCGCCCTTTGTCTCCTTTGTGGAGATGCTGGAGTTGGGCAGATGTGGATCTAGTCTCAGTTCGGTGCTGACTGGCTGTGTGACCTTGGGCAAGTCCCTAGACTTCTCTGTATGGGCTTCCCCGGTGGTTAATGAGAATAATGGAACTTCTCAGAGCGATGAAGTAAAATGACATTGGTAAAAATGCCCAGCATCTCTAGCCTTGACAAATAGTGTTTGAATTTGGAATTTTAATTTTCTCTATCTTCTTATTCCTTTTCTCCCCACCAGGCCACCTTTCTCCTCCATTACTCTTCTGGTATCACCAGTTTTCGTGCGATTCCTCTCCCTCCGCTCCCCCCTTCAGTCTTGCCCTGTCTCTTCCTAAACTCTGGCCCCTCCCTGCTTTTCTTCCAGACTTCTCCCCACCTCCTTCTCTTTCTCCCTCCCAAAATAAAATCAATGCAATATTCAGGAGGGTTGTTGGATATAAATAATTACGACTTGGAGTTTAACGAGATGCAAATTCCCCTCCCCGGTGTGGGGTATAAATTGCTCTCTGACAGCCCGTTACAAGGGTAATCATTTCAGAAAGGCAATTTTATGCAAATGAACCTGCCTGCCTCCTGGTGGCTCCCTCAGCCCTGGATGGGGAGGGGGGGTGAGGCTGAGGGGTGCAGAGAACCTAGGTATCTGAAGCTGAGGACTGAGAGCTGGAGGTTGAGAATGACAGACATTTAGGTTCAGGAAGGATCTGGGCTGGTGATCAGTGGGGTTGGGGCCCAGGAAGGGGTGAGTGTGGTTTGTGGGGGGAACTGGAGACATGGAGTCTAATGCCTGTGGCCTTGCTTGGATGGAGAGGACGTGGGGCCTGGATACCTGGGTCCTGGCTGGCTTCTCTACCTTGCCCCCTTCCCAGCCCGGTTACCCTGCGATACCATTGACGAATTGGCATTTAATTAATCCCAATGAATTATTTAGCAACTTCATTATCCACCATCAGGAGCTGATGAGAGAGCGAGCCGTGGTTGGTGGTGGGAGCCTTGAACAGGGGTTGGGTGGCTCAGAGAGGAAGGGGCTGGAGTCACCGGCTGGAGGAGCTGGCCCTGGTCCTGACGGGAGGCGAGGGTGAGGCCATCTGGGCTGGGCTACTACTGCACTCTAAGGTGTTACCTCCCCCACTGCCCACTTCTTAAATCAACAATACCCTAGCGAGTGCCTCCTCTCCCCAAATGTTGGGCCCCCAGTATTCCCATCCACGGTGGTGTCTCTTGCTCTGAGACCCTCTCGAGGTCATGGCGGCTCCTCAAGTCCTACAGAGAAACAACTGGGTGCTTGCTGGTGTGAGGAGGGAGTTAGACACGAACGGCCTCCCCTCCTCCGAGTCCTTCATTAACCCTTTCCTCTCTCTTTCCCCCCAGGCATCCCTCCCCCGTCTTCCGTCGGAACCTGCATAGGGGGAGGGGCGCCTCCGCCGCGGCCCGGGGAAGCCGGCACCTGGACTTCTGCTCGCCTCGTCCCGCGGCCGGGCCCATGGCATTGTGAGCCGGCGAGGAAGCCCCGCGCGGCGCGGGGGCGCCCGGCCCCCTCCCCGCCCCATGTGCCCGCGGCTCTGAAGCCTGAGCGGGGCCGGGGGCCGGGCGGGGCTGGGGCCGCCGGAGGCATGGCGCTAGGGAGCCCGTGGAGGCCGCCGTCGCCGCCGCTGTTGCTGTTGCTGCTGACGCTGGCGGCCGGCGCGGGAGGCCTGGAGTTCGGCGGCGGCCCCGGGCAGTGGGCTCGCTACGCGCGCTGGGCGGGCGCGGCGAGCAGCGGCGAGCTCAGCTTCAGCCTGCGCACCAACGCCACGCGCGCGCTGCTGCTCTACCTGGACGACGGCGGCGACTGCGACTTCTTGGAGCTGCTGCTGGTGGACGGGCGCCTGCGGCTGCGCTTTACGCTCTCGTGCGCCGAGCCGGCCACGCTGCAGCTGGACACGCCTGTGGCCGACGATCGCTGGCACATGGTGCTGCTGACCCGCGACGCGCGCCGCACGGCGCTGGCGGTGGACGGCGAGGCCCGCGCCGCCGAGGTGCGCTCGAAGCGGCGTGAGATGCAGGTGGCCAGCGACCTGTTCGTGGGCGGCATCCCGCCCGACGTGCGCCTCTCAGCGCTCACGCTCAGCACCGTCAAGTACGAGCCGCCCTTCCGCGGCCTCCTGGCCAATCTGAAGCTGGGCGAGAGGCCCCCGGCGCTGCTGGGCAGCCAGGGCCTGCGTGGCGCCGCCGCCGACCCGCTGTGCGCGCCCGCGCGCAATCCCTGTGCCAACGGCGGCCTCTGCACGGTGCTGGCCCCCGGCGAGGTGGGCTGCGACTGCAGCCACACGGGCTTCGGCGGCAAGTTCTGCAGTGAAGGTGAGCCGGGGCGCTGCCGCGGGGCGCCGGGGCGCGGGAGGGAGGGGCCGGGTGTGCCCGGGCGTCAAGGCCTGTGAGTGTGCACCGGCACGCAGGGCTTGTGAGGCGTGTCTTGTGTGAGGACGCTTGTCCCAGGGAGCGGGTGCGTGTGGATGGAGAGTGAGCTGCGGAGCCGCGGGGTGAATGAAGCGGGTTGGTGTGGGCGTGGCCGGTGTGGGCGGGGCCTGTGGGCCAACTCCCCGCCCCCCAGGAGGGTCCCGTAGCGACCTGTGGGTAGGCCTGTGAGGGGCTGGCAAGAGGGTGAAGGTCTGGCGCTTGTGGGTGGGGAGGGTGAGGCGCCGTGAGGATGTGGCGTGTGGGCGGGGCCTCCGAGGGGCAGTGGGTGGGGCCTTGTGGGCGAAGACTGGGGCGTTAAGGTCGGGGGCCTGTGAGGGAGTCGTGAAGACAGTGAGTGGGGCCTGCGTGGCTAGGCCTTGGGCAGGGCTGCGAGAGCGAACGGTCGGCCCGGGGGCGGGGGCGGGGGACGGGGCCCGCGAGGGTCGGTGAAGGCTCGTAGGTGGGGCCGGTGTGGGCGGGGCCTGTGAGGGCGGGATCGTGGCCGGCCCGGGCGGGCGGGGCCAGGGCTGGGGCCTCAGTCGATGAGGGTCCGCGGGTGAAGGGCGGGAAGTATAGCCTCTGGGGCCCGGACGCGACAATCGGATGAAGGCCTGGGCGTGAGGGCGTTGGGCGTGGGAGGAGGGCACGAAGGCGCTGTGGGCGAGTGGGGATTTCAAGGCCGTGACTGTGACTGCACGCGCCAGGAGGCGGGAACCGAGTGTTTCCTTTTCATCGCGGAATCTGCAGAGCCTCTTCAAGAGTAAAGGAAAAATGAGGGAGAGGGTGGCTGAGGATTCTCGGGCTCATGACTAGGAGTCGATGGACTTGGTGAGGGGCAAACAAATGGTTGGTAGTTTCTCCCCAGTGAGAGACAGGGAGTGGAGGCTTCTGTTTCAAACGTCCAGCCCTTCCCATCCTGGGATTTGGAAAGAAGGCTGGTGTTCTGGAGAGAGGTAGGACTCTGGAGTCTGGAATCAAATGTGCAATAGAGTCTTGAAAGGGAGGTGTAAGGGTGGGGGAGGTTCCGCCAGCTCCCCATTTGCAGGGGGCAGAGATGGCTGAAGTGAGGGGCCAAGAATGGTGGGGTGGGCTGTGGTTTTAGTGGTGATGGAGGAAAGGGGACCTTGAGGGCACCTGTTGTACTTGGTCTGGCTGGGCAGTGGGAAGAGTCCTCATTTCCTTCATCTCTGGTCGCTGTTTTCTGCAGATACGTGCAGACAGACAAGCTTTCCTCTCTCAGTACCCTTCAAAACTGTGGGCCGTTTGACAGTGTGTGTGTGTGTGTGTGTGTGTGTGTGTGTGTGTGTGTCTGCCCTGAGAAGTAGTCTTTTGGGGTGTATGTGCATATACACGTGTGTGCCCACAACCTAGTGTGGTCCTGGGACTGCTTTGAGGACAGGTGTCCTTGTGGCTGCCAGCATGGGAGGAGCCGGGTCTGCAGGTGAGGTGTTGGGTTCGGGAGGTCTGTACTTTGCACACTATTTTCATTGTGTACTGTTAGAGGAATACGTGAGGAGTTTTTGGATTGCTTTTGTGGGGTTATTTATACAAGATTGTGGGATATACCTTCAGGAACTGTGTGTATTAAGTTAATCTGACGCCTTCTCGCCTTTTCCCCAAGGAGCTCAGGTGCTCCCTAAACTGTGAAATTGTGTGTCTGGGTGGGATTGCCTGCACACAGAAGCCTGTGAGTCTGGCAGTGTGTATATGTGTGAATGGGGCTGCTTGCATAGTAGTGTTTACGAGCTGAAGTCCAGTGCCTGGTAGAGTGAGTAGTACTCAAGTGTAGGGGCACGTGCTCGTGTGTGGGGACCTCAGCGAGACACCTGGACTCAGTGAGGAATCCGTGACCTTTAATTTGATTCTCTGGTCCCTATGACCCCTTCCCTCTAAGCCTTCTTAAGAAAACAGGACAAACTACCCTTCTAAATTGATGGAAGGGAAATTTGAGCTACAGAGAGGTTAGAGTAACTGGTCCAGTCTCACTGTCCAGAACTGGGCCTGGGTGTATGAAAAATGCAGCCAGAGGCACCCTGGTCAACCAGAACCCTTGTATCTCTTCCACGAAGGGATTTATTGGCCAGAGGCTCCTAGTGGGCCAAACAAAGCATGTGCTTCCAAATGAGGGTGGTGTGGTTGTGTGTCTGAGATGTGTTTGAGTACCTGTGTTGGGAGGACCTGTTTTGCGTATCATATGAATATGTGCTGGATGTGTATCAGATGAACGTTTGTGTCAGCTGCGTTGGAGCTGTGAGAGGCAGCTACATTTGACGTGTGTGTGTGTGTGTGTGTGTGTATGAGAGAGAGAGAGAGAGAGAGATTCTTGAAGAAAAGGGAAGAGATACTAGGTGGATGTCAGACAGCTGGTAGGGACAGGAGAGCCTCTGTGTGTGTGTCTGTGTGTGTGTGTGTGTGTGTGTGTGTGCGCGCGCGCGCTCTCATGTGTGTGTGTGTGTAGTATCTGTTGATGGAGTGGTGCTTTGTCTGTGATAAAAGGACAGGGATATCATCTCTGTATTCTGTACCTAATATAGCACCAGGCACTTAGTGGGTGTTTGATAAAGATTTTTGGAATGAATGAAGAGATATGAATATGTATTTGAAACGATTGAGGTAAGGCCATATATATGAAAACGTGAAAATACGCATGTGTGTATTTTCAGATACATGTTGTGGGTGGACCTGGGGGTTGTAAACACTGATGACATCTGGAGATGACAGGCACAGTGACAACTCTCGTTTTCCTCCTTACCCCGTGACCCCATTCCCTTTCCTTATATTTTTGTACCTAATTTTCTGGGAAACTTTCGTAATACCCTATGCTCATTACACTTCTTCTAGTACATTTTCATTCGTCCAAGGAGGAAAGAAATGGGCTCCCACCCTTGGGTATCGGGGTTGGGGGAAGGAGCCTTTAAGGGGAGCAGGGCTGCCCCCTGATCTCTGAGACAGCTCTTGGGGCCAGAGGTTACAGTCACTTCATTATTATCTGCTTTCTGTGGTTCTCAACTTTTTCAGAGATTGAGGACATTTTAAAAAGTCAGTTATTCACAGCGCCCCTTCCAAATAGTAGTTTTTTTTTTTTTAAAAAGAACGTTTGTTGTAAAAATAGATGACTCAAAGCTATTATGAATTCAGGAAAGCTTTTAGATGACTTTGAAGTTACATTTGCCAGTGTGGTTTATCAGATACACATTAGAAAAAATAGTTTTAGCTTTATGTGCAAGACATACCGATCTGCCTTCAGATATTTGGTGTGCACATGGGTTTCTGGATCCTTTAGAATACCTGCTGCCCTCTCGGGTCTGGGCCTACCCAATAACTGAGAATCTTCATGTTAGGAAATTTGCTTTTTTTCTCTGGGGCGTCTGGCCACAGGTCATTGAAGACAGAGCTAAGTACGAGTCACCGAGTGTGTGTACTTGCTGCTGATTATCTGCCAAAGCTAGGATAGACTAGACTGGAGTTTTGCAGTGGATCACATGTGACCCTCCTCATGTCACTCGTGTATAGAGAAAGGGCTGAAGCGTGATCAAGGACGAAGGGTGTGCAGGGGTGTGGGAGACCTCTGGGGAATGGGGACACAGAAGTATAGAACAGAGTATTAGATGGGTACCTTGCTTAGGGGAGAAATCTGAAACTAGTGGTGAAGTGTGTGTTGGCAGAGGTAGATGTATGTGTTTCATGTGTGTGTGTTTGTAAGTTTGTTGGTGATTTAATTCAATAGGTAGTTAGCAAGGCTTCCTTTGTGACAGGCCTCGTGTTGGAGCGTGAAGGGGAGTCAGAAATGAGTGAGATGCAGATAGAAAAGCAGTCTACTGTGTGGTTAAGAGCATAGGTTCTGAGCAGTAACCTTGGACTTCAGCTCCCTCTGCTCTGGTTCCCTTGTCTGTAAAATGGGGACAATTATAGTACCTACGTTATAGATTCGTTTTGAGAATTAAATCAGCTAATTCTTGTGAAATGCTTAGAATATTGCCCAGCACATAGAAAGTGCTCATAAATAATAGCAAACGAACAACACAAAACAGCATGGTACATACCCCAAAAGGTGCAGTCAGGTGGTGTGGCTTAGTGATTAAACCACAGACTTCTGAGGCTCAGATCTGGGTTCATTCGTTCATTCATTCATTCAGACCCGGGTTTAAATCTGACTTCTCTACTCACTAGTAGGCCTGTGACATCAGATGAGTACCTAACCTTCAGATTAATTTTTCCTAAGCGTGCTTATATCACAGGTTCGTTGTGGAAATTAAATGAGCATCTAGGACATAGTAATTGGTGAGTAAAAGGTAGTTACTATTACAAGCTGAGTGCTCTTGGGTTTTGACGAAAGGGAGAGTTTACAAGTTGTGGGGGATCGGTAATACAAGGCATGCTATTTAAGATTGGCCTTGAGCATTGATTAGCAAGCTTGGTTTGGGAGAGGTCACTCCAAGCAAAGAACCCAGTAAGAACAAAGGCATGGGAGGTGGGGAATGTAGTTATGTCTGTAGAGCGGCACCAAGTAGTGCATGAAAAATAGTGGAATCTAAAGCAGGAGAAGCAGGTCGAGGCCAGGTCGTGGAGTTTTGACTTGAATCATTCAATCGACATTCATTGGATGCTGACTGTATACAGAGTATCAGCGGATGGAGACACAAAAGGGTTTTGAGCAGGTATATGAATAATAAGAGCTGTTTCGGAAGCTGGAAATGAAGTGTATAGAATGGATTATAGGGGCCAGAGTTATGCGCTGGAGAGATCAGTTGGGAGTTAGTTCAGGAAAGAGATATTGAGGCCCTGAACCTCGGTTGTCTAGGGGAGTGGCAAGGAAGGGTGGTGGCGGCTGTCGTGGAGACAATGGTGGCAGTGGCTGAGAGCCATTGCTGAGACTGGAGCTGTAGGCCTCTGCCTCTTGCATG